TAATTAATTACATTTTAATTGTATAACAAATAAATGGATTTGTTTACGGATTTTTTAATTCAAAATAAAATATTTTTGTTTTTCCTTAACTTAAACCAAATTAATAAATGGTTTGAAAATGATTTCAATTTTTCAAATATCGTTTCCGAAGAAATAATTTAAAACTAATAAAGAAATGAATGATAAAAATAATGAACAGACGAAGAATGAGTGGAAAGTGTGTCCAAACGTTGACAACAATCGGAGGCAACTCATCGGCGATAACGATAATCGTGTGAAGACCAGTCAATTCATCGATTAATGCATTGATAGTCTATTAGCGCGAGATTTGCACACAATTTGCCGATTGTTTGCCTATAAAAGGATCGAAACATTCATTCATTCCATTGTTTGAAGCATTCGTTCGAAACTCCATTTCCTTGTCTTCCTTTGGATCTGAAAGTAGTGTTTGTTTTGCCATTCATTCGAGTCTTCGACAGCTGTTGTGACCGCGAAATGGAAGTGCTTTCCCCACAAACGGCTCATGAGGTGAGCGCTTACGTCGGCAGCGATAGTGTGGCCACCGGTGGCGAAGAGATACGGATCCCACGCCCGGCCAACGCATTCATGCTATTCGGCAAAGAGTTTCGCAAAGTGTTGGCCAATAAGTTTCAGGACTTGTCGAACAAACAGATCAGCAAAATATTGGGCGACGAGTGGAAGAAAATGGATGTCGAGCTGAAGAATCATTACCACAAACTCGCCGAAGACACTCATCGACAACATCTCGAGAAATATCCCGGTTTTCTATCCATTCATTTACTTTTCAATAAAATGCAAACCTTTTATAGCGTTTGACTCAGTGTTTGATTTGACGCTTCGTTTTCTAGGCTATTATTACAGCCCTTTAGAGGCGCGACAGCGAAAGGCTGAACGAAAGCGTAAGTCAAAAATGTCCAGAAGTTGTCAAAGAGCTAAGACTAGTCTTCACATGAATTACCCGGTCATTGAGCCGTTCGGTGGCAATAGGTTTGCATTCAATGAACTATTAATTCAAATAATTGCTTAACTTTTTGACAATCCATACGAACAGATCGTTTCCACTCCAGAGTCCAATGCATCAATTGATACGACCCGTGTTCGGCACTCCTATCCCTCCGAGAGCTCGGTTTGCGCAACACGTCCTCCGCTACGGACCTAATCAGCCATTCGGCGGTTTCTTTCGCTACGGATTCCCTCAGCCGCGGCCTGTATTTGTGGTTCCGGTCGCCGCTGATCACAGCTATGCCGCCGCCTCACAGCCGACGTTTGACCAATCGGTTCAACAATTTGTCACTTATAATGAAAGCCTTGAATCGCAAACCAACGAAACGCAAGTCCAGAGCCATGACATCAAAGTCGAAGAAATGTCGGGAACTACTGATATCGATCTCTTGTCCACATTTCTGCCGCCAATGCATAATCCAACCGAAGCCACGGCTGTCGTTGAGTCCGAAGACTCAATCGATTCAAACGAAGTGACAATACGCGAGTCTGAAGTGACCAAAATGTCAAACGCGAGTATCGATAAGGACTCGACTCTTAAGTCCTTCAAAGACGAGCCGTTCGATGAAGACTCCATTGACACGAATGAGACTAAAGTTGTGGTCAAATCTAATGACCAATGAATGACACGAAAAATTGAATTTATTTTTAAATTCTTTTCATTAACTATATTTGCGTTTCTTATACACATTTTTAAACTTATTTATATTTTAAAATTAAATTATTTTTATCTTTTACTTCCATTTGAGATATTTGTTAACATTTTAACTAATTTTTAATAAAATGTTTTTACAATTTACTGATTCAGTGAAATAAATCTTATTCATGTAAAATAATTTGAGTTTATTATAAAACATTATTAAAATCTGCAAAAATGATTTTTAAAAATTGCATTTATATTCTCATTGAGAACTTGTTCAACAAAGTTCTTGATTTACAATTTACATGTTTATTAAATTTTACACAAAAATTTTAAGCAGAAATTGATGTAAAAACATAGTATTTAATATTTCGATATATCTTACACTACAAGTTATTATGTCATAAAATTTTAATTAAAACTGTTTCCAAACCAATTAAAAGTAAGAAAAAGTTTTAGAAAAGTTTTTTAAAGTTTACTAGAAATGCAGTCATCATTACGAGTGAACACTAAAATTATTTGCGTTCAAAACTTTGCTCACAAATGAAATCACATTAAAAACAATCATTTCATGTGAAAAATACATTAATAAATTGCATATCAAAGCAAATTATTTTAAAATTCAAGAGTAGTTTTACCATTAATTTTAAGGTCAATTGAAATAATGCTAAAAAACTGCGAAAACAGACAAAAATGTATCGACTTTTATAAGTGGGCGGACGTAAGGCTATAACACAAACACTGAATGAGTGTTTTCGCCATTCATGACAACACTTATCGTCAAAACTGGTTATGAAATACCAAACAAATTTTTAATGTTTGGTAAATGTCTTCAAATCTGTTCATTAAAGCCATTGGTTTGCCATTAACTCGACGTCTGATATAACTATCGGTGAATTGGTTTGCATTGAAAGTGATTGAATTGTCACTGATTGGTAAGCAATGAACATAAGTATAACAGATATCTGCGAAAACACCAAAATGGGTCGTGAGTTCGCTCTCCTCGGCAACTATGAGACCGCTCTCGTCTACTATCAGGGAGTCGTCCAACAGATCCATCGACTCTTGCAGACCATCAGCGACGCCAACCGCAAAGAACGGTGGCAGGAGGTATGTGTCACCACCACTACCACCATCCATGTGATCCATATGATCAAGATGATCAATATGGTTCAATTAACGTTATGTTCTTGAACTTGTTTTTTGACCATCAGATCCAACAACAAATAGCACAGGAATACGAATACGTGAAAGACATTCAGACAAAACTGTTGGGTTTTAAGGGCGATCACCACAACACGCGTCCCATTAACGCCAGACAATCGCCACAGTTTGGCGGTCTAAACGATGACCCGAATAACGATCCCGACTATTGGCCGCCCACTTCTCCTCGAGAGCCCGATGTATGGCCGCCGCCAACGCCTGTGGAGCACAAACCCGGACCAGCCGTCAAACAAAGACAGGGCAGACGTGAGAGCTATTCGTTGGGCAACAAAAGCGGTCGCGAAG